CGGGAGAAAGAAGATTTAAGTAAGTTTAAAGATTAAAACAAACAAAAAAAAAATTTTGGAAAACAGTGAAAGGAAGTTAAGAATGTTGGCTGTGGACACTTAAGGGGCCAGATGGATTTGAAAGAGCAGTTTGTTTTTTTAATGGACTGTTTTAAATTTTATAAAAATACAGATTATTTTGGAATTTACTATAAGAAAACGTACTGTGGGAAAGTTTTGGCTTTGAAAATAAACAAAAGATAAGACTGGGCTTGGAAGGTTAACTAGAGGGATCCAGAGAGCAATTCAAGGAAAAGATACTTCCTAACATAATGGAGGAACATTGTTTTACTATAGAATAATTTAAATCTGTTTGGGAACAATGTGTTCAGGACTTATTTTTAAAATTGGATCTAAAAGAGGTTATAGAGGAATAAAAGATTCTACTGAATAAAACAAAAGCTGAAGATGATTTGAATAGGGATTTTAAAATGGACTGTAAATAATTGCCATATAAAAGAGATATGGAAAAAGATGTGGATTTGAAAATGAACTTAAAGATATTTGATTGCAAGAGTGACATGGAGAAAGAAGTTGTAATGGATATACAAATTATGCTGGCTGATATTTTAATAACTAAAAGCGATATCCTGATCATAAATCAGAAGAGTGACTTGGAGACTTATCTTACTGTGGATCCACATGAGGGAAGTACCAAATCTCTGAAGTTGCTACTGAAAACAGGGAGAAAATTATAAGAAATCACTATGTGAGACTTTATTTGAAAAAGCAATGGAAGATTAAGCCTCTTAAGAAGAAAAAGGAGTTCAAAGTGGACTTATTTGACTAGGGTTAAACTGTATACATTTTGATTTTGGTTGTTATTATTGGAATCTTTTTTTTACCAGGATTGCAAGACGATATAAAGATTTTTTCATATGGTAATGAAATCTTTCACTTCCTACTTGTTAGAGAAAGTTACGGGTTAGAATGCAAAAGGGACATATTATATCTAGTTTATAATAACTAGTTTATAATGTTACTGTTACTGATATTCTTTATACTTATGGGGATTAATCTTTTATGTTTACTTATTAGAGTAATTGTTATAAGTCAAAATGCAAAACAGATTTATTTCTCAAAGCTTAAAACATATATGTTACTACTACTTGTACTCTTAATGCTTTTTCTGAATAAAACTGATGAATCTTTCTATTATTTGGTTATTGTTTAGTGATGAGAAATGGGAAGAAGAGTTTTTTAAAAAATTTCTGTAATATTAAAGGAGGTGTCAAGTTACTGTAAATGCTTATGTTTGTTTAGAGGGAGGGGGAGTCCCTTTTATATGTCTTTCTTTTTTTCTCTTCTCTTCTTTTTTGTTTGCATATCTTTTCTAATTCTGTATTAGCTTTTAATTATGTAAAACTCTAATAAAATATTATTAAAAAAGGCATTACTATCAATATAAGGTTGCAAATCTATTACAATCTAATCACTTCAGCCTTATTTTCCTTATTCTCTGTAAGATCTGAAATAAATACATTTACACTTAAATATGTTTACCACAATAATTAAGGTGCAGCTATTTAATAAAAAGTT